TTAATAAATTTAGAAATTTATTTATGAAAGTATAAATTTGTTCACATACAGTTATTAAATTTCTACTCCTAGTGAGATAATATTAATTAGTGTATTGATTAGATTAACAATTAGAATTTACAATGCAAAACAATATCATACTTCAATATTAGTAACTCTGTATATTGCGAGAAATAATTGATGTTGGTCTTAATTTTCTTGATTTTCAGTATAAAAAACAGTGAATACAAGCCAATCAACGTATCGAATTTTTTTATTTATACATACAATCCTAAAATTCCTATCTGTTAGTTATATTTATTTGTTTAATATTAGTTGTTTAGAAATATATATGGCAATGTAAAAATGTAATTTTTTAATAGTATCTTCACAGTATGTTGCATTCACATTGAAAAAAAATTTGTTCACAAGATTATCATGCATACTTGTGCAGACAGTGTATAACATACAGTATATGGTATATAATATATAATATTATACATATTATATCATATATTATAACATATTATATAATTCTCACTGCATTTTTGACAATTTAATGCCTCGTATATTTTTTTCTCTCATAATTAATCCTTTTAAATATGAATATATTGTCTACAACACTTCCTTAATAGGCCTTCAACAATTGACAACCTATGTTATGTTTATTATAATGTGTTTTTTACTTCTGAGTTTGCACAAAATTATATATTACAGCCTTAATTAATATATTTAGGAAAATTAAATTTTATTCAATGTAATCGTGTTCATCATAAATGTAAATAAATGTATACAAAATAAAGGTAAAGAAAGTAATACATCCATAGATATATAGTTTTAAACTGTGTTATTCAGATTGCATTTTTGTAACAAAATATAATGCAATAAAAATCAAATGCATTTAGAAAATTATTGTTAACTAGTTTAAAGTATATTCATTGTTATTCCTCGTACGATTTAAAATTTTTATAGGAGTTTTATGTTCAAGCTTCTTCATTTTACACATTACCATGTATTATTAAACGATATAATAAATTGCTTTTGTAGAAAATGAATTTTCGTCCCAGATAATTAAAAATATCATGCTAGATATATAAATATTATTTTATGTTTTATAGCGGCAGTGCGAAGGTAAGTAATTTAGATTATATTATAATAACGACAGAATTAAAATAAAAAGTATTTCTGTACAATTAGATACAAAATAATAAACTATTTATTACTAGAGATAGTATCTATATTCAGTGTAGAAATTTGTATGAAAACGATTGCCCTCATGAATGCTATTGTCTCTTAAACTATTTAATGAAACTAAAACATAACTTCTGTCATTTTAAACAATAATATTTCTTTTACAAGAGGATTATTCAATTTTATTAATGGGATAGAAAATTTTACTTTATCATTAAGTTCTCCATTATTATAAAGTATATGATCCCATGTTAAATTGCTAAACACTACTTGTGCCACTGAAATCCATATCTATTTCTGTTGAATGTTGATAAAAAACAAAATGTATGCATTAGTATATGATACTTTTGGTTCTTAAAGCTTGATCACGTATTCTTGCATTATAGCTACATATCTACAAAAGGTATCATACCTTTGCATATTATCTGTTGTTTGTATTACCATCATATAGGAAAATGATGTAATGGAGATTTATATGAACTTAAATATGTGAATGTAGAAACAAAAGCAGTCTTCATCTTGTCGCTGCACAGTTGATTTAATTAAACGAAGTAAGGAAAGAAAAGGACGGATTTAGAGATTACATGCGAGAACCCTTCTGCTGCAGAACCTAAAATACAATTTAATGATTGAAACTTAGAATAATGTATTAAACATTTTAAGTTAAAATTACATTTCTAAGTTTTACAAAGTTAACAGATATGTCGTTTTACTTTATCGTTTATGAAATTTGTAAATGAATAAGTTTTAGCATTGTTCAGCCTCTGTATTTTGTTATATAATTTTTTACTTCACTAAACATTGTACTAAATTTCAACTATATTTACAAGAGTTATTTTATATACAAACATAATTTCTATATGATTATGTATTGTTCCATTTACAGTTCCGTTTTGATTAATAATTTAAAAATTCGTTACTTTACGAAATTTAATATCTCTAAATCAAAGGAACAAAATACATTTGAAATATTTCAAACATGCAATAATGAATCATGCAGGACATAGGGTAGAAAGTAACCAAACCAATAAAAGAAACAATTCTTTATTCGATGAACAGCATGCGATACAAAAATAACAGTATGATACATATAGCAAACATCAGAGGCAGAACATGCTCATGCGAATTGGCCCCTGAATTGACACAAACTAATATAAAATGCTTCGATAATTAAAATAGAATAATACAGTATTGTTTAAATCAGATTACAGAAAGTTATAAAAAATGGAAAACAAAAATACTTGTAAGTTTGGCCTAAACACTACAATGTAAATTACTTAACAATATCTAAGATTGTGCATTTGTATCTACTATAAGGCACTCTTTTATATTTGTTTGTATTAATTTTAATGTTATATTATTTTAATTTATATAAATAAGTCTTGTGCAAAGAAATGTAAAAATAAAATGGATAAAGAAATGTGACTTATAGAAGATCTTCATCACGATTTTAAAGTCTACATTTTTCACTAAAATGATCTTTGGTAGCATTAATGATAAAATAATAACAATTTGTAATTCAATTTATTCTATTACTTCAATTGATTCATTTGTAACAAAACAAATTGTAACTTATATTTAAACAAAAATATTAGTTTGATTTATTACAGATGAATTGATTGAATGAATATAATGATGAAATATGGTAATACTGTTGTACATCAGAGGTTCTTCATTTTAGTGGTCA